GTCCACAGCTCAACACAATGTATATAAAATTTTAAAAACAATAATAATGATGGAAAAATAACTCAACATATGACAATGCCTTCTTTAATCTAAATTTTAGATAAATATATAAATGCCGCAATTAAACTTATTTAATTAATTATTTGCAGATGGAAAATCCATAATAAGATTGTTTCCAATAAATGTCAAATCAACAAACACACAAAATTCACATAAAAATCCAAGTGGCAATCACACCAAATTATCATATAAAATACAAACTCGACAAACAAGGAATGAGGCATGAAAAATCAAGGATTTACTAAGTTCCAACAATTTTTCAATTTAATACACAAGGGCCTCTACGAATTTCAACCGATATAATTTGCATATATAAACCAAGTACGTACTCGTCACCTCGCATACATAATCTTTAATTATAAAATTTCCACATAAGACTCAAATTTTATACCAATTTTATACGAGTTCAACCATACCAATTTTATCAAATTCTGATAACAACTCGGCCTCCAAATCTAAATTTTTCTTTTCTGACAGATTTTGCAAAAATTCTAATTTCTTCCATTTAAATTCGAATTAAATGATGAATATAAGCATGGATTTATGAAATATAATTAAAACTGAGTAGGAAACACTTACCGCAATCCATTTGGTAAAAATCTTCTCTAACATCGCCCAAATCTGAGTTCCCTAACTCAAAAATATTGAAATTAGCTAAAAACAAATCTTCTCGATAAAAACTCATTTTCCATCGCTAAAAATCTATTTTCCGTCAATAAAAGTACATTTTCCGTCACTAAAGGTTCATACCAGAACCTGTTTGCACCAACAATTTAATATTTCACTAAAAGGTTCTAACTCCATCATACGAACTCGGAATTCAATGATTCTTGTTCTAATGAGTCATAAATAATTAAGCAAACCTAGTCGTTTAATCACAACTCAATTTGGAGCTCATTAGCTCAATGTGATACCAATTTTGCTCGTTAAACAATTAACTCATGTTTTGCGCTAAAAATCCTCGCGGCTTGATAGAATTAGATCAAACATTCCAGATCATTCCTATAATTCAGTATCAAAGTCTCGGAAGTCTCTAAATCGAATTTCGATCTCTAAAACTAAAAATGGACATTTAGATCATTACATGCTTATGCTCAAAACACCAAACGCTTCTCAGACAGCCCGTAGTGTATTAACCATAACCTTTTGTACCCAACCCCAATTACCAAATGGTTTACATTTAAAACTAGATACAAAGGTATACAACTTTTATTTTTAGATCATTGTCAAATTCCTTATAGATTACGAGATATAAACTTCCAAAGTCAGCCATGTGCAACAGAAATATCTGCGATGCGCACTGGCAGGGAAAATAACTGTTGTACCCGGCTTCGATAATTGATCATAACTTTATGTACAAATGTCCAAATTATTCCATATGAAGCTATTGGAATCAGCAAAATTTTATTCCGGAGTCATTTGCTCAAAAGTCAAACTCCGGTCAACTCTTTTCATTTAAGCTTCAAAAATAAGGATTGTTCTTCCAATTTAATTCCGAACCTTCCAAAACCAATCTTGACCGCATAAACAAGTCATAATATATATTACGAAATTGCTCGGGACCTTAAGTCTTTGAACGAGACGTTACTCTTAAAACGACAAGTCGGGTTATTATAGGAGTTTGGTCGTGACATTAACACGTTTAGTTTAGAATAAATCTAAATCACCAACATCAGAGTGACTATTATATTATAAGGAACATTTAAGGTTAAGACAATATTTTTTAAAATTCTCGTCATCTAATGATCTCTAAGTTTTACCACTAAAATTTTTGTACTATTGAACTTATAAACTCTAGGAGAAAGAAAGTAAGAAAGAAATGAAAGAGAAAGTATGTTATCTTACAAGAGAAGCGAAAAAAAAAAGATTGTGGCGTTATAAAAATAAGAAAGAGAGTATAAATATTTACATCTATTCATGCATCCCACAATAATAATTCCAATATTGATGGTTTATCGCAAATGTAACAAAATTATCGTTCCTTTTGTATGGAAAAGTTTATTTTTCTACAAAAAGTACTCAATATATTTTTTAAAGAAACCCTACAAATATATTATTACTAAAGAATGGGATCTCCCAAATTTTGGGGGTCTAAAGCAAGTGTCTTACGTGCTTCACCGTGAAGTCGGCATTGTCGACAAAGAATTTTCATCTAGGAAAGTTGATTGAGAAACGATAGGAAATGAAATGAAATGAAAGGAAGAGCTCCTTCCGCCAAAACCAATATTGGCTAAAATTGAAATATAAACTTGCAACCACTAATTCAAAGTGCCAAAGGAAAAGATTTATGCATGATTTCCTCCATCTGTCTTAGCTTGATATTTCTTGTGTCGGCAATGGGAAATCCTAGTGATAATTGTAATGACCTGACCGGTCGTTTTGGGCATTTTCACTTCACTCGATAGTTTGAGGGTATGAGTAGCTCTGTATAATTTATTATGACTTGTGGGAATCGTCGGTTTTTATTTTCGGGTTAATCAAAATCTATTTGGAAGAATGAATTTCATGATTTAAGCTTTAAGTTGGAAGAGTTCACCAAGTTTGACTTTTGTGAATTTGACCCCGAAACAAAGTTTTCAGGGCTCTGTTTGGCCCGTATGGTGATTTTCGATTTGGGCGTATGCCCGAGTTTGAATTTAGATACTTCTAGAAGGATTCGACACTAATTGGCGAAAGTTGGAAATTTGAAGGTTTGGAAAGTTCAAAAGTTCGACTGAGAGTTGAATTAGATGATATCAGATTCGAATTGTGGTTTTTCAGCACGAGTTTTGGAGATTTCAAGTTCAAAGTTTATTTAAGTTTGATATGAGGTGCGATTAGTTATTTCGATGTTGTTATGTATGACTTGAGACCTCGAGCACGACCGTATTATTTTATGGGACTTATTGGTATATTTGAAAGGGTTCCCGAGAGACTCGGGTGAGTTTCGAACGAGGTTCAGACCATTTTGTCGCATGTTGCATTTGGTTAAGGCTGTGGTTCTGGTGTGGCCGCATCTGCGGACAATTGGTCACATAAGCGACGTCGAAGATACGGGGTCTTCTTTGCAAATGCAAACAAGGACAACTGGGTGTAAGAGTCGCGGGTGCATGGGCACATTTGCGGGACCGCACACGCGGTTCAGTGTGCGCAGAAGCACGATCACATAAGCGGGTAGGAGATCGCAGAAGCGAGGGGTCGGCAGGTTAGTGGTTATCACAGAAGCGAAAAGTTAGTCGTAGAAGCAACTTCGCAAAAGCGTCTAGGATTTCACAGATGCGATGAGGAATAGACAGAACAGTATTAAATCGAGGCTTTTGGTTCTGTTATCATATTTTAAGATTTGGGGCTCGGATTGAGGATAGTTTTGAAGCAATTTTTATCACGCGGATTGGGGTAAGTGTTCTACACTCAGTTTTGATTATATTTCATGATTCTATCTTCGTTTTTGGTAAATGGATTATGAGTTATAAAGAGAATTTGGAGGTTTTAGCCTAAAGTTTGGTAGAGTGAGTTTTTGAGTTTTAAATATCTATTCGGAGTTGGATTTGAGTGAAGCTAATATGATTGGACTCGAAATTGAATGGGTTGTCAGATTTTATAAGTTTTGTCAGGTTCCGAGGTGCGGACCTGAGTTTAAGTTTTGGTTGATTTTGGTATTTTGAGTGGCCAATATTTTTCCCCATACAATGTAGTTGATGTAACAACCACTCTATAAAACTTAACTTTAAGTTTTGGTGACACATTCTTATCACATAGGACACCAAATACGAGCCTTTATTTCATGCACCCTGTTCCAATACGATGTGTGATATCATCATCGATCTTTCTGTTTTCTTGTATCATCGGCCCAAGGTACTTGAAGCTAATTCTTTTCTTGGGGATGACTTGTGCATCAATCCTCACTGTAATATTCTGCATTCCGATCCACCTAGTCAGCTTGGTTGTTTCAGCATTTTGTATAGCATCTATATCATCAATTTGAGATAATCCGATGAAACTACACCATTCAAATTGGATTTGATTCATGTGTATTCCTCTTAATTCAAAAAGAAAACTAAATAAAGAAACAAACTTTACCATCCAGCAACTAATCCAAATTTTTTGTTATAAAAAAATACTGCACCAATTTTGTTAGGGAAAAAAAAATCATCAAAGCTACATATCACATATATCCTCAAAAATTGTAAGAATTTCTGGATATTATCAACTAAAGAAGAAATTGAAGCATATAAAATGATTTTAAAGAAAAAGAAAAATATCTGAATATAGCAATGAGTCTATTTTGAAGATAGTTACTACTTTTGTGGGAGATGGCTATAGAATATCAAATTTTTTGGATTTCTTTTGCCAAACGTAATCTAACGCCAAAAATTTACTAATTCTTATTATGTGATGTCACCCAATATCAATTTTCCTAATATAAGTTGCTAGAGTTTCACCAATTTGTGCCCATCTAGTTTTTGTTAGCATTATGAAAATTTCAGGAACACGTTGATCAACCGAAAATGGATTATGTCACAAATAACGTTGTTCCGATCTTCCGTTTTATTTATATGATATTCTTTGTTTTTTTGTCTCTTTAAATAAGAATGATACCTTATATTTGTAAAAACTCTTTTACTTTACTTTTCATTTTATCCTTAAAAATAAGCTTTTATAAGATAAAACTGTCATGTTATATTTAAGATTACAACTTCTAAAGTTTTTTTTGGTACGTGTGAGAAGTCATTTTCTTTTCCCTTAAATTTCTTACCAATTCAAATACCATCATATATGTAAAATCAAAGGAGGAGACTAATAAATATAAATATTGCACTAAAAAGAAAAAAAGAAGGAGAAGATAGAACATGTGTTGGAAATATTTCCAGCCGTGCTTGACCCGCGTCAACTGCTGGCTTAACAGAAGTCAATTTTTAAGTCCCATAAATTATTTTGCCGTGATCCTGCTGATGAAGGCAATGGATTCTAAAAGAAATATTTTCAGTTTCACTATTGTCAGTTGCAACTTTCTTTACTTGTTATTTTTGGTACTTATCAGTTTTTCTCTAAGATGCAATGCAGTACAGAGTGACATCGATTGTTTAAAATCGATTCGAAATTCGTTGGAAGACCCTTTAAATTTCTTGAGCTCTACGTGGCAGTTCGACAATCAGACAGAAGGTTTCATATGCAAATTTACAGGAATACAGTGCTGGCATCCTGATGAGAATAAGGTTCTAAGTATTAGCCTTCCAGACATGGGACTAAAAGGTGAGTTTCCTCGAGGCATTCAAAAGTGCTCTTCTTTAAGTTCTCTAGATCTCTCAAACAACGAGTTATATGGAACCATCCCTCTGGATATATCAAGAGTAATTGGATTTGCGGTAATACTTGATCTCTCGAATAACCAATTATCAGGACAGATGCCAGTAGACTTAGCAAATTGCTCTTATCTTAATGACATCAAATTAGACAACAATGTACTAACAGGTCAAATCCCACCTCAAATTGGCCTCTTAGGTCGCCTCAAGACGTTCAATGTTGCCAACAACAAGTTGACGGGGCCAGTGCCAAATTTTATCAAAGCCACTATTTCGGCTGAAAGTTACGCAAATAATTTAGGACTTTGCGGTGGTCCTCTAAAACCGTGTTACAGTGTTGGAGTTCCAAAGCGAAACCATCGTACTCTGTTTGTTAGTGGTTTTGTAACTGGTTGGTCGCTATTCACTTTACTTGGTATATATCTTTTTTATCTTTGGTTTTCCTTGTGTAAAGAAGATATTTGTATCGATCAAGAATAGAACAAAGAGAACGGTGATTGATGGAAGTGAGTGTCCAGACGGAATAGAAGTAAACAATGACCCGAAGGTAAACATTTTGCAGGCTATATAAAATTAGCTTGGCCATAAATTCTCAAATTTATTTTAAAAATTTTGATTCGGGTGAAATTTAATTTGAAAAAATATGAAATGTGACTTATACCCATAAGCCTAAAAACTATAAAAAATACCCAACAATACCAAACAAATAAACTTGTTAATCTTGTATATGCACAACCTTCATCGATGCCATTAAAACCATAATAGATTGTGAGTTTTTTTATACAATACAAAAATTTGGGATAACTTTTAAAATTGTTAAAAAACAAAACAGTAATATTTTATGCCAAAAACAGGTCTAGAGTTAGTTTTGGGATTTGAAAATTTTATTTTCAAAATCTGCCAAAATGAGTAAAATCTATAAACAAACATGTTTTGCCAAAAAAATTTTGAAAAATTCTTGACAAAATCTATGACCAAACGGGGCTTAATCACACTCCAATTACAGAGAAGAAAAGTAAGCATGTGACATTAAATGAATTGTGCTAATGATAGAAATGTTCTTTTCCTCAGATTTCAAAGCTGGAGAAGATTGTTACAAGAATGAGTTTTATGGAACTAGCAAAAGCGACTTCATATTTTAGCCAAGACCATTAAATTGGGAAGGGAATGCTGGGAAAAGTGTACAAGGGACTGGTCCCAAATGGCTGGAATGTTGCCATAAAGAGGCTCGATGCCTCAGAAAATTTGGAGGAAGAGTTTGTTTCTGAGATTACAATTCTGGGCAGTCTGAGGCATCAAAATTTAGTCCCTTTAATCGGTTTTTGTGCAGCGAGGGACGAGCAACTGCTGGTTTACAAATACATGCCAAATGGAAACTTACATGAGTGGCTACATACGACTGATGACAAGGCAAAGCTCTTGGACTTTCCTTTAAGGGTTAAAATTGCTGTTGGTGTCGCGAAAGCCCTTACTTGGCTTCATGATGGTGGAAATTTCCATGTTGTGCATAGTAACTTAAGCACACAAAGTATTTTGCTAGACGAAAATTTTGATCCCAAGATATCCAATTTTTGGGAGGCAACAATTGCAAAACAAAATGACATGAATTCAAGCATGAGTCTATTGCCAATAGTTGAATATTTAGACTTTACATCTTACAAGAAAGATGTATATAGATTTGGGGTTGTGCTTCTTGAGCTTTTAACAAGGAAGGAATCTTACCAATTGAGCTGCTCAAGTTTAAATCTTAGCAGTAGCTCTTTTGCCAGTCCTCTTGATGTGGATAAAGTGCTGTTAGGTCAAGGTTTTGATGCTAAGATATTGCAGCTACTTGAACTTGCAAGTAACTGTATGAAGTTCATTCCTAATCAAAGGCCAACGATGCTTCAAGTGTATCTGACTGTAGCTGCGATTTCTCGAATTCATGATCAAACAGGAGACCCTGAAATACAGTAGCAAGTGGAATAGAAGCAGCCATGTGTATTCCCTTGCTTTCTATGTTTATTTCATTAGCAAGAAGTGTGTCTATCTCACTTCCAACCAAGAGATTGTGAGTTCGAGTCACCCAAAGAGCAAGGTGGGGAGTTCTTGGAGGGAAGGATGCCGAGGGTCATTTGGAAACAGCCTCTCTACCCCAGGATAGGGGTAAGGTCTGCGTACACACTACCCTCCCCAAACCCCACTAGTGAGATTATACTGGGTTATTGTTGTTGTTGTGTCTATCTCCCTTTTCTTTATCTAATGCATCCTATCAAACGTTCCCTTAAATTCAGTAAACCACTCTCGTAACTCGTAAGTCATTCCTGCACCAGAGAACTCAGACCTGCTTTCTTCCTTCATTGCATATTGGTAATTTTTTTTTTATTGGTATTTTATAATAATTCTTTTCGAATGATAATATAACAAACTCATTTAATCTTTCTTGAGAATTATTGGTCTTAGATAAGATTGTATCAATTTTAATTTTAAAAAGCTTCTTTCCGTGGATGCAACTGTTAATATTGTTTTATATGAAATATAAGCATTTAGACAAGAATCAAGTCTTTTATGTTTTCACTTCGTACTATTTTCTTTAACACTCTTAATTTAGAATAAATCTAAACCACCAATATTAGAGTGACTATTATATTATAAGAAACATTTAATGTTAAGGCAATACTTTTTAAACTTCTCGTTCGTTATCTATTGATCTCAAATTTTATCACTCAAATTTTTGAACTATTGAACTTTTATACTCTTGGAGAAAGGAAGTAAGAAACAAATGAAAGAGAAGTATGTTATCTTACAAGAGAAGAGAAAAAAGAAAGATTGTGACGTTATAAAAATAAGAAAGAGAGTATAAATATTTACATCTATTCATGCATCCCATAATAATAATTCCATTATTGATGGTTTATCACAAATGTAACAAAATTATCATTCCTTTTATATGAAAAAGTTTATATTTTTGCTAAAAGTACTCAATATTGTTTTTAAAGAAACCCAATAAATCTATTATTGCTAAAAAAAAAAAAGAAGGAGAACTCCCAAATCTTGGAAAGTTGATTGAGAAACGATAGGAAATGAAACGAAAGGGAGAGGTCCTTCCGGAAAACCATCATTGGCTAGAATTGAAATATAAAGTTGCAACCACTAATTCAAAGTGCCATAGGAAAATATTTATGCATGATTTCCTCCATCTTTCTTAGCTTGATATTTCTTGTGTCGGCAATGGGAAATCCCAGTGACAACTATGCTTAAAATCAATAAATCAATAGTTGATGACGTAGACAAAATTTGTGTGTCGATGACTTGACTACACTTGTTTGGCATTTTTTTCTTATGTGGCATGTAGCTGATTACCTTCAGAAAGGTAAGGGAAGGGGTGTTCGTGGTTCGGTTTGGATCGGTTTTTTCCGAAAAAGAAACCAAACCAAATAAGTCGATTTTTAAAATTTTAGAACCAAACCAAACCAATTAAGTCGGTTTTTTATTGATTCGGTTTGATTCGATTTTTATCGATTTTTTGGATTTTTCGGTTATTCATCAGTTTTTTTCTTAAATATGAGACATATACTACTAAACGCATATTCCGACGACTATATTTACAACGTAACACTATCAAATCAATTGCTCTTTAAGAAATCTATCATTTACCAAGATACATTGATGATAATTGAATCAAATAGTGATGAATAATTAAAGTACTCAATTAAAAATCGATTATTTTTAACATGAAATAAATTCTTGCACTTATCAAAAGAAAACTACCAATCAAACTAGAATGTAAAAGCAAAGAATTAGATTATTATAATAGCAAAGAACTAGACTAAAAATATAAATGACTAGTATGTGCCATAAATATTTAGAAACTTTATATAAAAATATACATATATATAGGTGTAATAATAAATTTAAATAGCTACTTTTATAGTCGGTTTGGTTCGTTTTTTTCGTTATTTTTTGATTAAAACCAAAACCAAACCAGATTTGATCGGTTTTTAAAATTCAAAACCAAAACTAAAATTAAACCAAACATCACTTTGTAGAATTATACTAGATTTATCGTTGTTGTTGTTATGGCATGTAGCGATATGGACCTTTGAGTTCAAGATTAATGATTTTCCAGTTATTTTGATTTTCTGAGATATATAGGCAATTTAGCCTTTGAGGTACTTCTCTGGAGTCAATTATTCAAATGGTCACTCAATTAACCCAAATTATCTGCTAAAGTCATTTTTTTTTCTTTTGTAATAAAAAAAATCACTTAATTATTCCTATAACACTCAGAAGGTCACTCAACTAGATTTTCCAAATTTTAGATCGTCGAATACATATTTTACCCTCAAAATTATAAATATTTATCTTCTTTTTATTTTTTTAACTTTTTAATATTATGATTTTTCCCTTTTTAAATTTATATTATGGACTTACTTATATAATAAATAAATTTTATTTATAAATTAAAAAGATAAAAAATATTTAAGCATATATAATGCTGGAATAAAATAATAATGAGTATAGTAAAATGATTAATTAGAATAATTTGTTCGTAAGAATTTCAGTATTAACAACAAAAATTAAAAACCTTAATTACACAATTAAGAATGAAAGAAAATAAAGGTTGTAAAATATATATTCCATGCATGTAATATAAAAATAATTATTTAAATAAAAGTATTTTTATAATATACATTATATATGGTTGAAAATTATGCTCAAGTATATTATTATTCTGTCATTATATGAGTTGAAAATTAATTTTTTATTTTTTATTTTATAAATAAAATATATTTATCTATAGGTAAGTCCACAATGTAGATTAAAAAGAAAGAAAACTTATAATATTTAAAAAGTTAAAAACAAATTGATAATTTAGAGGGTAAAATAGGTATTTGACAATTAAAAAATTGAAAATTCTAGTTGAGTGACCTTCTGAGTATTATATGCATAATTAAGTGACTTTTTCGACAAGAAAATACAATACAATGCCAAATATCTCAATTCTTTTCATAATCATGATATGAACTAATCAACGTTTAATAAAAGTTACTGCATGAGTCTAGGATGCAAATACATGCTCATGATCCACTCTCAATACCTCATAGCACAAATTCATGTTCCTGACACTAGTCAAGTGTCCAAACCAAGCACCAATCTGGGTATTTGCACTCACATGGCCTAAGGAAACATGGGTAACCAACTGACTCCGGAGGGACGAATCCATATCCAAGCGCGATTGAGACGTACAACCGGGTCTAATCATAATACCATCAATAATCAATAATCCATATTCGCTCTCTATGTCTTTAGTGCCAAAATGCTCATCTTTTCTCAATATATAACTCTCCAACTCATGCATATGCATATGAGATAATATGATCAAGGCGCATAGGGATTGTCCCCTAGAATACAATAAAAAACTCACCTCAATTGAGCATGACAAAATATTTAACAAAGGTACCATTATTGAAGCCCCTCATTGAGTGATCCTAGTGAATATGAGAGGTTGGTGGGAAGGTTATTGTATCTTACAGTGACTGGACGAGACATATCATTTGGAGTACTGCAGGTATTGAGTCAATACATGCATGCTCCAAAGCAATCACACATGGAGGCTGCTATGAGGTTTGTTATAATTTTGAAGACATCACCAGGTCTAGAGCTTCTAATGACAACAGAAGAAACTAAGCGGTTGCGGGCCTTTTGTGATTCAGATTGGGGATTTTGTTTGCAGACCAGAAGAACTGTCTGTCACGACCCAAATCTAACCCCTGCCGTGACTGCGCCTATTATGGAACTAGGCAAGCCAACTCATTTCCAAAACAAACTGATATTTTTAATTTAAAGATAATTCCAAGGTTATTTAACATAAAACCTCCATTTAAAGAGTTCAAATCAAAGAAAAATAGAAGTGCGAAAAAGAAAAGCCCGACATCGGGGTGTCACTAGTCATGAGCATCTACTACAATCTGTCTAACAATATCAAGGCTAACTCATCCTGGAAAATAGCTAAATACAACTAGAGGAAGATAATAGGGAGAAGAGTAGAGCTGCGATCGCCAGGCAGCTACCTTGCTATCCTCGGAAAAATCAGCAATCAGAACAATCAACAACCGCTACTGTATCCAGCTACACCTGGATCTGCACATAAGGTGCAGGGAGTAACGTGAGTACACCAACTCAGTAAGTAACAACAATAAATAAAGACTGAGCAGTAGTGACGAGCAATAAAACATATAACATTCATATCATGAAATCTCAGTAAAGTACAACATGCTTTAAAATCAGTGTTTGAATCAAATCATCTCGTTTAAACCCGGTTCCAGTAAAAATCACTTCAAAATATTTTTCCAACAGTTTTTTTTTTCAAACAAAGGCTCAATGCAAAAGTGAGCAAAATGATGAAATCATAAACAGCCCCTCGGGCAAACCTCACAGTCACTCTTTCCACTCGGGCATACCTCACAATCACTCATGCTTCCCAGTCACTCAGCACTCGGCACTCGCACTCAGTAGGTACTTGAGCTCACTGGAGGTGTGTACAGACTCCGGAGGGGCTCCTTCAGTCCAAGCGCTATAATCTGCAC